ATTACTTTACCCAGCAAAGCTATCATTTAGAATTGAAGGACAGATAAAGAGCTTCCCAGACAAGAAAAAGCTAAAGGTTCATCACCACCAAACCAGTATTATATGCAATGTTAAGGGTATTCTTTAAGAAGAAGAAGAAGAAGAAGAAGAAGAAGAAGAAGAAGAAGAAGAAGAAGAAGAAGGAGAAGAAGAAGGGAAGAAGAAAAGAAGAAGAAGAAATATGAACAATAAAATGGGAATAAATACATATCTATCAACAACTGAATCTAAAAAACTAAATGAGCAAGCTGAACAGAAACAGACTCATAGATATAGAGAACATTTTGATGGTTGCCAGATGGGAAGGGGTTTGGATGGGTGAGTGAAAAAGTTGAGGGGATTAAGAAGTACAAATTGGTTATTACAGAATAGCCATGGGGATGTAATGCACAGCATAGGGAATATAATCAACTAGAGGCCTGGTGCATGAAATTAGTGCATGGGAGGGGGGCCCTCAGCCTGGCCTGCACCCTCTCCAATCCGGGACCCCTTGGGGGATGTCCGACTGCCTCTCGTGATCTGGGACTGCTGGCTCCTAACCACTAGCCTGCCTGCCTGCCTAATCACCCCTAACCCCTCTGCCTGCCTGCCTGATCTCCCCTAACCATCTCTGCCTGCCTGAATACCCCTAACGGCTCCCCTGTTGGCCTGATCACCCCTAAGCACCTCTGCCTCGCCCCACACCCGGGACCCAGGATTCCCTCCCTCTGGCCAGCTGCAGGCACCCAGGACCCGGGCCAGGTTCGCCCAGGCTGGCCACAGCTGCAGGGGATCATGGGCAGGTGGCTTTGCTTGGGCCATAGCCACAGGCAACCAGGACGTGGGGCTGGTGGCTTGTCTCTCTTCCGGGCCACAGCCCCAGGGGCTGGCTCCCAGGACTATGGGGCGAGCGGCTTGTCCCTCTCCCAGGCCGCAGTCTGGCTGGTCCCCATTCCTCTCTCATGAGCTCATTTGTGCCTGGCTGGTCCTGATTCCTCTCTCCCCTGCCCACGATCCCCTGCAGCTGTGGCCAGCTTGGGCAAAGCTGGCCTGGGTCCTGGGTGCCTGTGGCTGGCCAGAGAGAGGGAATCCTGGGTCCTGGGTGTGGGGCGAGGCAGAGGTGCTTAGGGGTGATCAGGCCAGCAGGGGAGCAGTTAGGGGTGATCGGGCCAGTAAGGGAGCCATTAGGGGTAATCAGGCAGGCAGAGATAGTTAGGGGCGATCAGGCAGGCAGGCAGAGGGGTTAGGGGTGATTAGGCAGTGTTGAGTATCTGAGCCATTATGGTGCGACAATGTGAGGGTGTGACGACCATTTGCATATTAGCTCTTTATTATATAGGATAATATTATAATAACTATGTATGGTGTCAGGTGGGTGTGAGATTTATCAGGATGACCACATAGTAAGTTAGGTAATGTCTAATCACGGGAGTGTACACCTGAAACTAGTATACTATTGTATCTCAACTGTAATTGAAAAATAAAAAGGATTTAAACATGAAAAAATGTATTATTCTAAATGTCCTTTAGAAAATTGATTATTTAATTAGCCCTGCAGGATCTCAGTGTTATTTATTTTTTAAAATATATTTTATTGATTTTTTACAGAGAGGAAGGGAGAGGGATAGAGAGTTAGAAACATCGGAGAACCAAGATGGCGGCATAGGTTAACGCTGGAGTTTGCTGCTTTGAACAACTACTTCAAAAGTGAAACTAAAAGACGGAAGGGACATCACCCAGAACCACAGGAACGCTGGCTGAGTGGAAGTCCTACAACTAGGAGGAAAGAGAAACGCATACGGACACTCAGAGGAGGCGCAGTGCTGAAGTCAAATTCTGAGGTGCGGAGTGCGCGGAGTGGGCTGGCGGCGGAGGGCGCGGTTGGCGTTTTCAATCGGGAGGGAGTCGCAGACTCTGAGCTCCAGATCTGGGCGAGTCTTTGGGGACCCAGACTCAAACGGGAGAAGCGGGACTGTCTGGCTTCGGTCAGAGCGAGTGCAGCTTTCTCTCCGAGGTTTGCAGCGGGTGCTGGGACTCAGAGAGGCAGAGCCCCTGGGGACAGGACTGAGAGCCGCCATAACTGCTCTCTCCGGCCCACCCTGTTGATCCTGTGCGACCCGCCCCGCCCAAGCCCTGCACAGAGGCTTTTGCCGGATAGCCTCAGGCAAAGGCTAGATTAGCACCTCCCTAGAGGACAGAAGTTCTCTCACTGCTGACACAGCTGATTCGCATAGCCACTTGGCCTGGAGGTCAAACCCTCCCTGGAATTAGCTACAACAATCAAGATTTAACTATAAGACTTCGAACAAAGACCACTAGGGGGTGCACCAAGGAAGCATAACAAAATGCGGAGACAAAGAAACAGGACAAAATTGTCAATGGAAGATATAGAGTTCAGAACCACACTTTTAAGGTCTCTCAAGAACTGTTTAGAAGCCGCCGATAAACTTAATGAGATCTACAAGAAAACTAATGAGACCCTCGATCTTATATTGGGGAACCAACTAGAAATTAAGCATACACGGACTGAAATAACGAATATTATACAGACTCCCGACAGCAGACCAGAGGAGCGCAAGAATCAAGTCAATGATTTGATATGCGAGGAAGCAAAAAACACCCAACCGGAAAAGCAAAATGAAAAAAGAATCCAAAAATGCGAGGATAGTGTAAGGAGCCTCTGGGACAGCTTCAAGCGTACCAATATCAGAATTATAGGGGTGCCAGAAGATGAGAGAGAGCAAGATATTGAAAACCTATTTGAAGAAATAATGACAGAAAACTTCCCCCACCTGGTGAAAGAAATGGACTTACAGGTCCAAGAAGTGCGGAGAACCCCAAACAAAAGGAATCCAAAGAGGACCACACCAAGACACATCATAATTAAAATGCCAAGAGCAAAAGATAAAGAGAGAATCTTAAAAACAGCAAGAGAAAGAAACTCAGTTACCTACAAGGGAATACCCATACGACTGTCAGCTGATTTCTCAACAGAAACTTTGCAGGCCAGAAGGGAGTGGCAAGAAATATTCAAAGTGATGAATACCAAGAACCTACAACCAAGATTACTTTATCCAGCAAAGCTATCATTCAGAATTGAAGGTCAGATAAAGAGCTTCACAGATAAGGAAAAGCTAAAGGAGTTCATCACCACCAAACCAGGATTATATGAAATGCTGAAAGGTGTCCTTTAAGAAGAGGAAGAGGAAGAAAAAGGTAAAGATACAAATTATGAACAACAAATATGCATCTATCAACAAGTGAATCTAAGAATCAAGTGAATAAATAATCTGATGAACAGAATGAACTGTTGATTATAATAGAATCAGGGACATAGAAAGGGAATGGACTGACTATTCCTGGGGGGGAAAGGGGTGTGGGAGATGCGGGAAGAGACTGGACAAAAATCATGCACCTATGGATGAGGACAGTGGGTGGGGAGTGAGGGCGGAGGGTGGGGCGGAAACTGGGAGGAGGGGAGTTATGGGGGGGAAAAAAAGAGGAACAAATGTAATAATCTGAACAATGAAGATTTAATTAAAAAAAAAAAAGAAATATTCAAAGTGATGAATACCAAGAACCTACAACCAAGATTACTTTATCCAGCAAAGCTATCATTCAGAATTGAAGGTCAGATAAAGAGCTTCACAGATAAGGAAAAGCTAAAGGAGTTCATCACCACCAAACCAGGATTATATGAAATGCTGAAAGGTATCCTTTAAGAAGAGGAAGAGGAAGAAAAAGGTAAAGATACAAATTATGAACAACAAATATGCATCTATCAACAAGTGAATCTAAGAATCAAGTGAATAAATAATCTGATGAACAGAATGAACTGGTGATTATAATAGAATCAGGGACATAGAAAGGGAATGGACTGACTATTCTTGGGGGGGAAAGGGGTGTGGGAGATGCGGGAAGAGACTGGACAAAAATCGTGCACCTATGGATGAGGACAGTGGGTGGGGAGTGAGGGTGGAGGGTGGGGCGGGAACTGGGAGGAGGGGAGTTATGGGGGGAAAAAAGAGGAACAAATGTAATAATCTGAACAATAAAGATTTAATTAAAAAAAAAAAAGAAAGAAACATCGATGAGAGAGAAACATCAATCAGCTGCCTCCTGCACACCCCCTACTGGGGATGTGCCTGCAACCAAGGTACATGCCCTTGACTGGAATCGAATCTGGGAACTTTCAGTCCACAGGCTGATGCTCTATCCAGCTGTGGGCAAACTACGGCCCACGGGCCGGATCCGGCCTGTTTGAAATGAAAAAAACTAAAAAAAAAAAAAGACCGTACCCTTTTATGTAATGATGTTTACTTTGAATTTATATTAGTTCACACAAACACTCCATCCATGCTTTTGTTCCGGCCCTCCGGTCCAGTTTAAGAACCCATTGTGGCCCTCGAGTCAAAAAGTTTGCCCACCCCTGCAGTCTATCCACTGAGCCAAACCAGTTAGGGCTCAGTGTTATTTATTATTCTAGGATCTAGAATTAAAGCCTCTAATAATACTAAATGTTGGTCAGAATGTGGGAAACAGGATGCAATTTCCTCTAGGTGTGGCTATATAGGTATCAACTACTAAGCTTTTCTTAAAAATTGATTTTAAAAAAAATCTTGGACTTAAGCGTATTTTATTTTAAAGTATCTTATCCAGAAAGACAGTGCTCCAAAACTGCTTGATAACCGTAGTTGCAATTACTTTGGAAAAGTTAAGTATGGTGATAATAGAAAACAGACCAAGTTCAATAACTTTCCACTCTGGTGACAATTTCACATTCAGGTTACAGCTTTTACAGATAAATATTACCTTAAAAAAGTTTTCTTCACACTGAAATGGCCATAACTTCTTGCTCAAATGAATTAAATTTTGATGACTATTTTAGTTGGTAGCCCATAAAAGCCTGCTGAGTCATATGCTTTGCACAGTGACCCTTGAAAGGGAAATTCACATGTAGGAGTAATTCCAGGAAGGTCCTACAGATGGCACAATACTGTAGTTACAGTACTGCTTTACTTAAACTAAGAACTTCCACTTTGTCAAGCACTTATTTTTCCGCCTTTAGACGTTGTTTTCTTCTGAGAAAGAAATCTGGGTAAGTAAGCAGGCTTTTGTAGCTTTTTCAAATTACCGCATAATTACTTCAAACAAGCAAGAAAATGCTAATGATTGTCTAGGAAATAGGCAATGTTTCTTTGACATTTTTGCAAGATGATTTTAGGTGTGTGTGTGTGTGTGTGTGTGTTTTTTAAATGTTGCAAATGTCCTTTTAAATATACAAGAAAGGTAAAGACCGGACTGTCTCCCAAAGGTACAAAAATAGCACGTGTCGTCATAGTTAAGGGAAAATCTAACCGATGAGATTTATTTCTTCTGCTTTTGTCTACTACATTTTCTCTTTTCACCTTTCTCTAGTTCCTTGTTTTCAGTAACGTTTACAGTGCTTTATGCCACTGCTACGGCACCTCTTACATATTATGTATCTTTATATAGTAGGCATGAGTGCTTTATGTCCCCTGTCACATAATTCTATAATTGCTTGTTTGTATCTGCACTAATTTATAAGCATTTGGAAAGCAGGGATTATGCCAGTGCTATTCATGTTTCTTTCCCTAGCACCTAACGCCTAGCAAAGTCCTGGCACATACTACACTCTGAATAAACAGTTATTAAATGAAGGAAGTGGAAGGCACTGACCGAGGACTTGCCTTTCTCTGCGTCCCTCACCTAAACTTTGACAAATAAAGCAATATTTCTCTCGCACACTTGTTGACTCGATTATGGAATCACTCTTACCTCAATGTTTTTCTTATCTCCCCTTTCTTTTAGTCTTAATTTTCCCAGATCCTATCCACTATGGTGTTTTTCTTGAAATAGAGCTTCTTCCATCTGTCTTTTTCCTCCCTCTTTTCATTCCATGCATTAAAGAAAAAGAAAAAAACAACAACTTTTCCTCCTACCTCTTTTTACTTCCTGGAAAAAAAAAGTAGTGAACCCTGTAGTCATCCACTCTCATCTCCCCTTTTCCTCTCTTTTTTTTTTCTTAAATATAAAAGCTCCTGGCTGCCTGGCTGGTTTGTTAAGTGTATACACTGGGAACTGCTTGAGGGTATAAAGGCCCCTGAAGGAATACTACCGTTTGGGGGCAGGGTGCTCTAAGGGTAGCTGATCAATTTTCTCACACAGCGGCTAACTTTCAGACCCCTGACCACAGACACCAGAGAGAGACCTCTAGGTAGGTTCTCATTCATAAATGTCAATTATCGAGCATCATGCGGAAGAAGTTCTTTCTTTTTACAAATAATACAAGCATGTTTCTTTAAACATAAACTGTTTTTATGTTAGCTGTATTTTAAGACAAACCTTTTTTGATTTATAAAAGATGTTCAAAATCAGAAATTTTGGAAATATACAAAAGCATAGGAAAGAAAATTAACTTTATCTAGGATTCAGAAAGCCAGATATAACTACTATTAGCATTTGATATATTTCTTCCCATTCTTTTTGCCCCTAGGCTTTGCTTATACATCAGGTTTTCCTCATGTTTTGCAAAATTAGAGTCCTATCACATATACAATTTTGTATTCTTATATTCACCTAACATTATATTGTAAGACACTAGTTTTTTCCAAAAGTGCAATATTTGAGACAGCATGTTATTCATGTTATGAGTGTGCCATAATTGACTAAACCATTTTCTACACAAGGTTGACTTTTCATTTTGTTGATTGTTTCTTTTGCTGTGCAGAAGCCTTTTAATTTTATAGAGCCCCACTTCTTAAACAATTTTCCTTTTTGTTGCCAGATCCAAAAAATTATTGCCAAGACCAATGTCAGGTTTTCTTCTAGAAGAACCTGACATTGTGTTTTCTTCTAGGAGTATTTTGTTTTAGTTCTTAAAAGTTAAGTTTTTAATTTATTTGGAGTAAATTTTTGTGAGTGGGATAAGATAGGCGTCAAATTTCATTCTTTTGCATGTACATATACAGTTTTCCAACACCATTTATTGAAGAGACTGCCATTTCCCCATTAAGTATTTTTTACTCCCTTGTCAAATATTAGTTTGTGCCTGGATTTCTTTCTGGGCCCTCAATTCTGTTCCATTGGTCTATGTGTCTGTTTTTATGTGCACATTATACTGTGTTGATTACTATAACTTTGTAATATAGTTGGAAACCAGGAAGTGTGGTGCCTTCAGTTTTGTCTGTCTCAGAATTGCTTGGCTATTTAGGATCTTTTGTGGTCCCATAGGAATTTTTCAATTTTTTCCCGATTTCTGTGAAACATATCATTGAAATTTTGATAAGTATTGCATTGAATATATAGATAGCTTTGGGTATAATGGACATTTTAACAATATTGTTTCTTCTGAACCATGAATGCAGGATATCTTTTCATTTATTCATGTCTTCAATTTCTTTTATCAATGTCTTATCTTTTCAGTGTATAGGTCTTTCACCTTCCTGGTGAAATTTATTCTGAGATATTTTGTTCTTTTGATAAAATTGTAAATGGAATTGTTTTGTTCATTTCTTTTCCAGGTGGTTTGTTGTTAGTGTATAGAAACACTGTTGATTTTGTATGTTGGTTTTGTATCCTGCTACTTGACTGAATTTGTTTATTAGTTTGTTTTTTTGTGGAGTCTTTAGGATTCTCTACATATAAGTTCATATCATCTGCAAGCAGAGATAATTTGACTTCTTCCTTCCCAATTTGGATGTTTTTGTTTCTTTTTATTACCTAATTACTTTGGCTAGGACTTCCAGTGTATTATGTTGACTAGAAGTAGCAAGAGTACCTCTTGCCCAGCTTTTACCTAAGAGTGTTCGCCATTGTGTGATGAAGAGGTGGAGGATAGTGGCTGGCAGAAGGAAAACTCAGTGTTGTGATGCACTCACATCAGCACCACTGGGTAATTACCTGGTTGTTACTCATTCTTGGTATTTGAATGAGAGACAAACACAAAGGGACAAAATGTGTTCATACCTTTTGTCGTGGAGTCCGTTTTCCTGAGACAAAACTTGAATACACTGGATTTTCCATACTACACCTCAGTTACATTTTCATGAATGTAGATGCTTTTGGATCTTGCCATTAATTTTCCATCTTTCTTAGTTTTAGGTGGCAAGGTGGATTTTCAAGTGTTTCTGTGTTTTCATGGGTGTTTTGGTGGTCAATTGGGAGAGGCTGTAGGGGAAGAGGGGTGAGGGACTTTTAACCATATACCATTTTTAAAAAAAATTAAAGTATAATTAGCTTTTTTAAAAACATGCCATTTTGTGGGCAGAGGATCTGAATAGACATTTCTTCAAAGAGGGCATATAGAGGGCCAACAGATATATGATAAGATACTCAATGTCACTAACCAACAGAAAAATGCAAATTAAAATCACAATGAGGTGTCACAGCACACCTGTTAGAATGGCTATCATCAATAAATCAACAAATAACAAGTGTTGGTGAGGATGTGGAGAAAAGGGAACCCTTGTGCACTGTTGGCGGGAATGCAGACTGGTGTAGTCACTGTGGAAAGCATTATGGAGTTTCCTGAAAAAATTTAAAAATGGAACTGCCTTATGATGCAGCAATTCCACTTCCAGTGTGTGTCCAAAGAACTCCAAAACACTAATTCAAAAGAATATATGCACTCTTATGTTTATAATAGCCAAGTGCCCATCAACAGACAAGTGGATAAAAAAGCTGCCCCCCCCCCCCAACACACACACACACTACTTGGGCATAAAAAAGAATGAAATCTTAACCATTTGCAACAGCATGAATGGACCTAGAAAGTATTTTGCTAAGTGAAATAAGTCAGTCAGAGAAAGACAAAAACCATATGATCTTACTTACATGTGAAATCTAAAGAACAAAATAAGTGAACAAACAAAACTGAAACAGACTCACTGAAACAGACTCATAGAAACAGAGAACAGGCTGATGGATGCCAGAGGGGAGGAAGGTTGGGGAATTGGGCGAAAAAGGTAAAGGGATTAAGAAAAAATAATTTGGTCAAAAATAGAAAAGGAAAGAAATGAAGTGGCCTGGTCCACTTATAATTATAGTTCTGCCACATTACAAACTCCCAGAGGTCAGGGATATAGTCTGTCACCAATGCCTAGAATAGTGCCCAAGCACTCAATACACATTTGCTTCATGTTTGTACATATTTAAATAATTTTATAATAAAAATAATTTAAAAGGAAAAAAAAGCCATGTTGTAATGATATGTCCCCAATCCGGAAGAGTATTTACTCTTCCAACGAATGATTAATTGAAATCCTACTCATCTCATAACTATTTTATTATTTCCAGTATATCCTCAGGTGATGAACAGCAGATCTTTTTGTTAATGAAACTGAACGACTAACTAGTCAAAATCTGCTCTGATTATTCCAGCTACACAAAGCCCTACTTAAGAAATGTTGCCTGTTCTTGTTCCCTAGGGGCTCCTAGATGTGTGTATGTGTGTGTGTGTGTGTGTGTGTGTGTGTGTGTGTGTGCAGATCAGATTCTGAATGAGGTCCAGCGAACCTCAAAATTCCAACCATTTGTTCTGGTCACAAATATGGGGCCTGTGGTCTCGTGCACCTGCCAAGTAATCTCCATCAGTGATTGTCATGAACTTCAATGTCTATATTGTTCTCTCATATATACAGTAGCTTTAGCCTGCCATGCCTCTGACTTCTCCAGAGTACTTATCAATATTTATCTATATTTTCCTGTTTTATCAGCGTGTTAACTGTAGGTACTTGATGTTTTCAGATTATCAGTGCTGAATCCCATCTCTCTGAATGTGTTGCTTCTGGTCTACTGTGAGTTGGGAAAACACATATCCATTTTCATGGGAATTGTGTCAAAAATAAGGTCCTGTGACTAAAACATTTCCTGCGACCAGAAAGATCAGAGTATATGTGTTATCTCAATGCCCTTTGCCAGCCGGTAAGAGCACCTCTAACTTGTACCTGGAGGTGGTTCCAGGAAGGCATGATTGTGGACACTCCAGTGCAGCACAGGAGGCTGCCCTGTGGCCATCACAGCTGCCTTGCCGCTCACAGGATGCCCTGTGGGAGTCAGGCAGCATTATGACTCTGTGGTGAATAAAGAAATAATTACGACTGTGTTTAGTTAGTAAGTAGAGGTTTGAGAGCTATTACCCACTCTTTATATATCTTAATGTATAGTATATTTCTAGGATTTGGATGCATATCAAGATGCTCTGAAGAACAGTGACAGCCCTTCGGGGGATAGCCGCTTCAACACCATGACCAAGGACAAAGAACCCATTGTCAGGAGCTTTCATTTTGTTTGCATGATAACCTTAATATTTGGAACCATAATCCAGTTCTCTGCTGAAAGTGAATTTGCAGTAAATGAGTCAAACAAAGGCCTTACTCATGTTCCAAAAGGCCTGCCACCCAAAACCATAGTCTTAGATATGTCTCAAAACTACATATCTGAGCTTCACCTCTCTGACATCAGCTTTCTTTCGGGACTCAGAGTTCTGAGGCTTTCCCATAATAGACTCCAGTACCTTGATATTAGTATTTTCAAGTTCAACCAGGATTTGGAATACTTGGATTTATCGCACAATCAGTTGCAGAAGATATCCTGCCATGCTGTCACCAGTCTCAAGCATTTAGACCTCTCATTCAATGACTTCGATGCCCTGCCCATCTGTGAGGAATTTGGCAACTTGACTCAACTGAATTTCTTGGGATTAAGTGCTAAACATTTACAACAATCAGATCTGCTACCAGTTGCTCACTTGCATCTAAGTGGCATCCTTCTGGAGTTGGAAGGTTATTATGTGAAAGAACATGAGACAGAAAGTCTTCAAATTCTGAATACAAAAACACTTCACCTCATTTTTCATCCAAATAATTTCTTCTCTGTACAAGCAAACATATCAGTTAGTAATGTAGGGTGTTTACAACTGAGTAATATTAGACTGAAGGATGAGAACTGTCACATTTTAATTACATTTTTATCAGAACTAACTAGAGGTCCAAACTTATTAAATATTACCTTCAACCATGTGGAAACAACTTGGAAATGTTTGGTTAGAGTTTTTCAATTCCTTTGGCCCAAACCTGTAGAATATCTCAATATTTACAATGCAACAATAGTTGAAAAGATTGATAAAGAAGATTTTACGTATTCTGAAACATCACTGAAAGCGTTGAAAATTGAACATATTACAAACAAAGTTTTTCTTTTTTCACAGACAGTATTATACACTGTGCTTTCTGAGATGAACATTATGATGTTAACCATATCAGACACACCTTTTATACACATGCTTTGTCCTCAAGCACCAAGCACATTTAAGTTTTTAAACTTTACCCAGAATGTTTTCACAGATAGTATTTTCCAAGAATGCTCCACTTTAGTTAGATTGGAGACACTTATCTTACAAAAGAATGAATTAAAAGACCTTTTCAAAGTAGGTCTCATGACTAAGGATATGCCGTCTTTGGAAATGCTGGATGTGAGCTGGAATTCTTTGGAATATGATGGACGTGACAGAAATTGCACTTGGGCTGAGAGAATAGAGGTGTTAAATTTATCTTCAAATATACTCACTGACTCTGTTTTCAGATGTTTACCTCCCAGACTCAGGGTTCTTGATCTTCACAGTAATAGAATAACAAGTATCCCTGAAAATGTCATCCATCTGGAAGCTTTACAAGAACTCAATGTTGCTTCCAATTCTTTAGCCCACCTTCCTGGATGTGATTCCTTCAGCAGCCTCTCTGTACTGATCATTGACTATAATTCAGTTTCCAACCCATCAGCTCATTTCTTCCAGAGCTGCCAGAAGATTAGGTCCATAAACGCAGGAAACAATCCATTCCAATGTACATGTGAGCTCAGAGAATTTATCCGAAGTATAGGCCAAGTTTCCAGTGAAGTGGTAGAGGGTTGGCCTGACTCTTATAAGTGTGACTATCCAGAAAGCTATAAGGGAACCCTACTAAAGGACTTTCATGTGTCTCCATTATCCTGCAACACAGCTCTGCTGATTGCCACCATTGGGGTCACTGGGCTGGTGTTGGCTGTCGCTGTGACTGTCCTCTGTGTCTATTTCGATCTGCCCTGGTATCTCAGGATGGTGTGTCAGTGGACCCAGACCCGACACAGGGCCAGGAACACATCTTTACACAAACTCCAAAGAGCTCTTCAGTTCCATGCCTTTATTTCGTACAGTGAACACGATTCTGCCTGGGTGAAGAATGAATTACTACCAAACCTAGAAAAAGAAGATATACGGATTTGTCTGCATGAGAGAAACTTTGTTCCTGGCAAGAGCATTGTGGAAAATATCATAAACTGTATTGAGAAAAGTTACAAGTCCATCTTTGTTTTGTCTCCCAACTTTGTTCAGAGCGAGTGGTGCCATTATGAACTCTACTTTGCCCACCACAATCTCTTTCATGAAGGATCTAATAACTTAATTCTGATCTTGCTGGACCCCATTCCACAGAACAGCATTCCCAGCAAGTATCACAAGCTGAAGGCCCTCATGGCACAACGAACTTATTTGGAATGGCCGAAGGAGAAGAGCAAACATGGACTTTTTTGGGCTAACATCAGAGCTGCTTTTAATGTGAAATTAACACTAACCACTGAAAACAATGACGTGAAAACTTAAAAAAAAAAAAAAAAGGCCAGGAAACCTAACTTAAGAAACCATCATAAACATGGGTCCTATGAACACCCTGGTATTAAGTTATTAGGTGCTCGCATCATCTCTATGTGTTCAAGAAAGACTTCACGCCCGGCTGACGTGGCTCAGCGGTTGAGCGTAGACCTATGAGTCAGGAGGTCACAGTTCGATTCCCAGTCAGGGCACATGCCCGAGTTGCAGACTTGATCCCCAGTAGGGGGCATGTAGGAGGCAGCTGATCAATGATTCTCTCATCATTGCTGTTTCTCTCTCCCTCTCCCTTCCTCTCTGAAATCAATAAAAATATAGTTAAAAAAAGAAAAGAAAGACTTAACAACAGCCATGTTTCAATTGAGTTGGGGAGCAGGCTGGGGCTGAGGTGGTGCTCAAACCTGCTGATTATGATGCCAGATAGCTCAGTCTCCTCTGGTTTAACCGTTGTGTTACAAATCAAAACAGTCTCATTTAAGTAAATGCTCAGTCATTCAAGGATCTTTCCTTTCCTCCCTCTGTCAAATGGATTCTGTGTGAGCAGGAGTTTATAGAACTTCCTGGCAGCATGGAATGAGTCAACCTCACAGCGGTATGCTGTGGTCCTTGGGGTGCCCTGCGCATGCTCATTGGCTTCTGGGTGAACTTTGTTTTCCTGTTCAACTTTAGAACTTGAAAAAAATTGGGCTGGTTATGGAAAATAGAGACACCATTTTCATCACATCTGAATAATCATTTGTTAAATTTTTGACCTAGCTACACAGATATGCAGTAGTTTGTGAATATAAAGGGAACTATAGCCTTAGTCATAGGCTGTTGAGGCTAAAGACATGGGTTTACCTGCTTGCCAAAAAAACTCAGAGCCAAATTTATTTGTAACTGTTAATTGCATAGGACATTTTGGTGCTTTAAAATTTTGGAGAATGCTTCAAAGCTTACAAAAGGTACATTTTAAACAGAAACAGCTCTACCCTTACAACCTCACATAATCTTAATTACCTCTTTAAAGTCTCTATCTCCAAATATAGTCATACTGGAGGCCCGATGCACAAAAATTCATGCAAAAGTAGGCCTTCCTTCCCCCAGCTGCCAACACCAGCTTCCCTCTGGCACCTGGGACCTGGGCTTCACTCTGGCCCTGGCTTCGTCCAGAAGGATGTCTGGAATGACACCTGGAAGGACATTTGGTCTAATTAGCATATTACCCTTTTATTATTATAGACTCTAAGGAACCAAGGGGTTAGGGCTTCAACATATAAATTTTGGAGAGGACACAATTCAGTCCATAACAGATGACTATGCAGATAAATTGAAAAATGGTGACAGTGATTTATAGTTGTTACCAATATCCATTCTCCCTTTATTTATTAAATATATTTTTATTGTTGATAGTATTACAGATATCTCCCATCCCCCCTTCCTCCCCTCCTCCAAGCCCTTACTACCTTATTGCCCATGTCCATGGGCTATGCATATCTATACTAATAAAAGGGTAATATGCTAATTAGACCAGACGTCTTCTGGACATTCTTCCAGACAAAGTCACAGTGGCGGGGGCCAAATCAGAGGTGGTTAGGGGTGATCAGACTGGCAGGTGAGGGCAGTTAGGGGCGATCAGCCCAGCAGGCAGAGGTAGTTAGGGGAAATCAGGCAGGCAGGCAGGCAGGCAAGTGGTTAGGAGCCAGCGGTCCCAGATTGTGAAAGGGATGTCTGACTGCTGATTTAGGCCCTATTCCGAGGGGTCCTGGATTGGAGAGGGTGCAGGCTGGGCTGAGGGACCCCCCCCCCCCACCCCTGTGCACGAATTTCATGCACCAGGCCTCTAGTAAGTATATAAGTTCTTTGGTTTAATCTCTTCTCGTCTCCCCAACCCCACATTGAGGTATGTCAGTCTGTTCCATGCCTCCATGCTCCAGGTTTTATTTTGTTGGTCAATTCATTTTGTTTATTAGATTCCACAAATAAGTGAGATCATGTGATATTTGTCTTTCTCAGTTTGGCTTATTTCCCTTAGCATAATATTTTCCAGGTCCATCCATGCTGTCCCAAAGGCTAAGAGATCCTTCTTTTTTACAGCTGCATAGTATTCCATGGTGTAAATGTCCCACAGCTTTTTTATCCATTTATCTACTGATGGGCACTTTGGCTGTATTCTCCCTTATTTAATACTAGAATCTGTGAGCTTTATCAGGGCAACCCAGCTAGAGATGACATCTCCCAGCCTCCCTTGCAGCTTGACGTGGACACGTGACTAAATTCTGGGCAATGAGATATAGCTAGAAGCTAAGTGCCACTCGGGCTCACATCTCTAAGAAAGACAGGTCCTGTCTTTCCTCTGGAAAAGAGGTAAGAATTGGAGGAACCATTTATACCTGGAGATGAAAGCCACATGTTGACAACATGCTCTCATCCTGCCATTTTGTTTGGCTCAAGTCAGCCTCTCAGCATGTCCTGGACTGCTCGTCTCTCATGTGAGAGAAAAGTAAACTTCCACCTTGTTTAACCACGCCACTTTTGGATCCCTCGATACAGCATCTTCATCAGCACCCCCATGAGTGCAGACATTTATAACCCGCAGACAGTGGTACAGCCTTTGAATATTTCCTGAGTATGTACAGGAGAGGAAAGTGACCATGTTTCACGTGCAACCTGGAGCAGAGCATCTGCCATCCTGACCAAGCCACCAATATCTCTCGCCTGTATGAGGGCAACAACCTCCCAACCAGCCTCCTTGCTTTTACTCCTGCCTCACACATTCTCCAAATAGCAATTAGAGTGATGGCTTTTAAGGTGTAAAGTCTATTAAGCCATTCCCCTGCTTACGACCTGCTAATGATCTCCCCCTGCAGGTAGAACAAAGGTCAAGCTCCTCATCATGACCTGCTGCCAAGGTCTGGGTCTGCCTTCCTTCCCCTCTGCACCTCCCTCTGCATCTCCTGGCGCTCTCCCCCTGGCCCAGCACATGTCAGCCACCATGGCCTTTGGCTGTTCCCTGGATGTGCCACATGGATTCCCACCTCTGCCTCTCTGCCCCTGGTATTTGCCACTGGGATCAGTCTTTCCCGGGGGCTTGCTTAACTTGTTCTTGACCTTTGTGTCTCAGCTCAAATGTCACCTCCTCAGAGGGGCCTCCCCGTGATTCCCAATCACTCTCTGTCACGTTGCTCCCCTTGGTTTTCTTTACAGCAGACGTCACTCTCTGAAATTATCTGGCTGACTTGTTTTCTGTTTTTCCTCCACTAAAATATAAGCTCCAGGAGAACAGCAACCTTCCGTACCTTGTCCACTGCTTATGCCCAGTGCTGACAGCAGTGCATTGCAGACACTCAGTAACAACTTGTTGGATGAATACATAGCTCCAAGTGGCCACAAGCATCAAATGCCTTTGAAGTTTTCATTTTTATCTTTATTTTAAATGCCCCATACAAATAGGGCACCACCTGCCCCCATTCATGTTAGTGTGGAGCCTTCACATGCCCCCAATTCCCTGCCACAGTTCAAAAAGTTTGCATTAATACATTTTCAGATATTAACACTTTGATGATAATAAAAAATAGGTTCCTTAATAAGGTGACAGCTTAGAAGGAAGGGGACATGGCGAAGAGGATTAGGGAGGGCTGCTAGGATGAAGCCTGATGAAAGGCCTTTGGACAACCCCAGAGCAGCATGAGGGTCCTGGGCCTGTGGCTGGGAAGGCCCTTCAAACGGCAGGCACAGTGGGTGCTGAAAGGGTTCAAGAGAATAAACCAGGGCAGAGAAAACTTACTGCGCTTAGCAGATATCTTGCAGAAAGCTTGCAACCTTGAGCACTGCATGGCCCAGATAACCACTAGCCATCTGACACTGGGAGGAACCAAGGACAGACCAGACCTGCCGTGGGCAAACTACGGCCCGCGGGCCGGATCCGGCCCATTTGAAATGAATAAAACTAAAAAAAAAAAAAAAGACCATACCCTTTTATGTAATGATGTTTACTTTGAATTTATATTAGTTCACACAAACACTCCATCCATGCTTTTGTTCCGGCCCTCGGGTCCAGTTTAAGAACCCAGAGCGGCTTGCAGCCAGCAAAGGTAATAAAAACCTGTTTCTCCCTTCTGTCTTGGCTGACTCCATTTTGTGGGACTCAGCCCACCTGCACCCAGGTGCCTGGAATAAAAATCTCTTTTGATATATTATGGCCTTATGTCATAGGTGTGCGACCCCGGCCCACTCTGAATCTTTCATTTAGTGCAGTGGTTCTCAACCTTCCTAATGCCGTGACCCTTTAATACAGTTCCTCATGTTGTGGTGACCCCCAATTTCATTGTTACAAATTGAACATAATTAAAGCATAGTGATTAATCACAGAAACAATATGTAATAATATATGTGTTTTCCAATGGTCTTAGGTGACCCCTGTGAAAGGGTCGTTCGACCCCCAAAGGGGTCGCGACCCACAGGTTGAGAACCACTGATTCACCCAGGGAAGTCTAGTGAGGGGTCCAGTAAGAGCCATTGCAGGGTTCCAGCAACCAGACACTTGGCATTCAGAGAGGCTGTGATTGTCCGGCTCCTGAGCTCCCCCTGTGTCTGGGGAAGGCCCCCAGCCGAGCTTCTGCTGAACTTGTGACACTTACTTGGGCCCCCCTAGCCTTCCTCCAGATTGGTCTGGGTTGTGCCTGTGACTGGATAGTGGACCTCTCCTTGCCTTGCCTCCTCCTCTATCAACACGAGGCATAGATCCATAGGTAAGTGGCGTTAGTCTGTTTTCCCATGTCCGGGACTGTCCTGTAATTTTGGGTTTGGAGCCAGGCTCCCGGCTGTTACTGTACAGCCAGCCCCACGAAAATCCAGCGCTGGTCTGGACAAGTTCCTGGGGGAACCAGGTTCCCTCGCCCACTCTCCTGACGGGAATGCCTGTCACGGAGGGAGGGCTCCGTCCATTTCTTGTGAACATTAGGGGAAGACAGGAATGCCTTTCTCAGCCTTAACTTCATGGAGAACAGACCTTAAGCCCTAGCCTGTCACCATGGGAAGCTCACC